GAAGAAGAAAGGAAGGAAGGAAAAGAGATGGAGAGAAAGGAAGGAAAGAGGGAGAGAGGGAAGGAAGGAAATAGAGAAGGAGAAAGGAAGGAAAAGGGACAGAGGGAAAGCAAGGAGGGAGGGGGGAAAAGGAAGGGAGGGCGGGAAAGAAGAAAGGAGAGAGGGAGAGAGAGAGGGAAGGCAGGCAGGAAGAAGGAAGAAGGATGGAAGGGGAAAACCCACCTACAATCATGAGGTTTCCATATGCTGCAAGAGTTCAGCTGAGAACATGCAAGCTTTTCATATTTCCCCCCCACTTGCATGAGGTCTAGTAACTTGGGGAGCTGGTCCATTTTAAGCATTATACATTTTGCATGAATAACTTGAAACAGTTGTCTAGTCTAGTTCTGTTCTCCCCTCCCTTCTTTCTAAAAACCTGGTTTGGCTTCGTCGCCCCACCGTAACCCTAACCCTCCTGGTTCCCCCCTTACCGGCTTTTCCATAACGATGATGTATCCCCCACCAACGACATTGATTTTATAATGCTTGACACTCACAGCTCTGCAAAGAACACAAAAATGGAATTTGAATTCTGTCCTCTCCTGAGCTTTGTCCCTGGGTGTGATTTTATTTAAGCCATTTCAGATTAAATTACAGTTTAACAGAGTTGGAAGGGACCTTGGAGGTCATCTAGTCCAACCCCCCACCCAAGCAGGAGACCCTACACCATTTCTGACAGATGGGAGTCCAATCTCTTCTTGAAAGCCTCCCACAATTCCTGAAGGAACTTCTGTTCCATGGGTTGATGGTTCTCACTGGCAGGAAATTTCTCCTTATTTCCAGCTTGAATCTCTCCTTGATCAGTTTCCATCCATTATTCCTTGTCTGACCTTCGGGTGCCTTGGAAAATAGCTTGACCCCCTTCCTCCTCCTCTCTGTGGCAGCCCCTTAAATATTGGAAGGCTGCTCTCCTGTCTCCCCTGGTCCTTCTCTTCCCTAGACTAGCCAAGCCCAGTTCCTGCAACCGTTCATCGTATGTTTTAGTCTCCAATTCCCTCAATCATCCTGGTTGCTCTTCTCTGCACTCTTTCCAGAGCCTCAACATCCTTTTTATAGTGTAGTGATCAAAACTGGGTGCAGGACTCTTATGTGTGGTCTTTTTCCAAGGTCAAGAAACATCATAAACATGAGTCAGATGCCAAGCATCTGGACGTAAATCATGTGATCACAGGGATGCTACAATGGTCGTAAGTGTGAAAAACGGTCATAAGCAGGGGTGGGATTCTACCAGTTCGCACCTATTCGCTAGAACCGGTTGTTAACATTCTAAGCAGTTCGGACAACCGGTTGTTAGAAGAAATTTTTACTGGCCTAATCCTGTAAGGAAGGCAGGAAGGAAACATTCTGGTGTTGCTTACAGAAACTGCCTCCTCTTACATTCTTACATTCTTACATTCCCCTTATTACATTCTTGGCAGGACTAGCCTTCCTGTCTCTGGAACGTCTCTGGAGTTTTTCCCCCCTCTTTTGCAGGTCCTTTGCTTGTGTGGAGTGACCATTCAAAGTTACCATGGCACTGAAAAAAGGGACTTATGACCATTTTTCGCACTTACGACTGTTGCAGCATCCCCACAATCATGAGAGGCCAGGCGAGGAGATGCGTGCCTCGATGTGAGTGATTTTGAGTTGGCCACGCCCAGCCAATAACATAACCACCAAGCCACGCCCACCAACTAAGCCACGCCCACCAACTAAGCCACGCCCACCAACTAAGCCACGCCCACCAACTAAGCCACACCCACAGAACCGGTTGTTGAAAAATTTGAATCCTACCCCTGGTCATAAGTCACTTTTTCCAGGGCCGGTTTTTACTTCAAAACATTGACTAAGCGAACTGTTGTTGTTAAATCAAGGACTACCTGTAGTAGATTAAACTCATTGTTCTCTGTAGACATCCAAAGGGAAAGAAGCAAGTTATAAGTCGAGAACCACATGTAACCAGATCTTGAAAGACTAAACATACTTTATTTTGAACAATGTAGTGTTTTTATTTGTGAATTACCTCGGATTGCTGGGAGTGTGTGTGTGTGTGTTGAAATTAAAAGAAAAACCATATAAGTGGGGAAACGAACGTGGTTTAGGGTTAGGGTGGAGGATTCCTCCTGCATCCAATTTTGAGCCAAGCATTTGTCCTTCCAACTCACCCAGGTACTTTCTGCCGAACAGTCAGTGAGAAACTCTTCCCATCCTGTCCAGGACGCAGCAACATGTTGCCATAATTTTCATTCTGCTCCAGAAGGGCCACTGCCTCCATTCTGGAGACCTGGAAGAAACAGCTAGGAGAAGGAAAAGAAAAGAACAAAGAAAAGAAAAGAAAAGAAAAGAAAAGAAAAGAAAAGAAAAGAAAAGAAAAGAAAAGAAGGGAAGGAGGGAGGATGAGGGAGAGGGGGGAGGGGGGGAGGAAAGAAGGAAGAAGGAGGGTAAGGAAGAAGGGAGGAAGGAAGGAAAGGTGAAGGAATGGAAGGAAGGAAGGAGGAAGGAAGGAAGAAGGGGAGGGAAGGAAGAAGGAGGGGAGGGAAGGAAGGAAGGGAAGGAGGAAGGAGGAAGGAAGGAAGGAAGGAAGGAAGGAAGGAAGGAAGAAGGAAGGGGGAGGGAAGGAAGGAAGAAAGAGTGAAGGAAGGGAAGGAA